TGTTAGGAACATAAGGAACAATCAGATCTCTGATATCAGATGGAGCTTGGCCATTTAAGGCTTTATATGTGAGAAGGAGGATTTTAAATTCTATTCTGGATTTAACAGGAAGCCAATGAAGAGAAGCCAGGATAGGCGAGATATGATCTCTCTTTTTAATTTTCATTAGAACTCTGGCTGCAGCATTTTGGATCAGCTGAAGGCTTTTAACTACAGTTTGTGGACTTCCTGATAGTTAAGAATTACAATAGTCCAGCCTTGAAGTAACAAATGCATGGACTAGTTTCTCAGCATCACCCCTGGACAGGAGATTTCTCATTTTTGCAATGTTCCTCAGATGAAAGAAGGATTCTAGAAACCTCTTTGATATGGGATTTAAATGACAGGTCCTGATCAAAAATAACACCAAGATTTTTTACTTTATTATCTGAAATCAGTTTAATCCCATCCAAATGAAGTGACTGACTAATCAGCTTCTTTTTCAGAGACTCTGGTCCAAAGACTATAACTTCTGTTTTGTCTGCATTCAGAAGCAGAAAGTTAAGAGTCATCCAGGTTTTTATGTCTTCAGACATGCCTGTAATCTATGTAATGGCTTAGCTTCATCTGGATTATAGACAGATATAGCTGGGTATCATCAGCATAACAGTGGAAATTAATCCCATGCTGTCTAATAATTCTACCAATTGGGAGCATGTATAAAGTAAAGAGAATTGGTCCTAGCACCCATCCCTGTGGTACTCCACAGGTAACCTTTGAGCATGAGGAAGAATTCTCATTAACGTGAACAAACTGAATTCGATCAGATAGATAAGATTTAAACCAGTCTAGTGCTGTTTCTTTAATTCCAACAAAATATTCAAGTCTTTCTTAAATAACATTATGATTAACTGGATCAAATGCAGCACTGAGATCCAACAGGATGAGCACAGATACAAGTCCATTATCTGAGGCCATGAGAATATCATTAGTGACTTTCACCAGAGCTGTTTCAGTGCTATAATGAGCTCTAAAGCCAGACTGAAACTCTTCAAAAAGTTCATTATGGTGTAAGTGATCGCAAGCTTGTTTGGCAACTACTTTCTCAAGAGTTTTAGATAAGAAAGGAAGATTGGATATAGGTCTATAATTGACCAAGTCATCTGGGTCAAGAGACGGTTTCTTAAGCAGAGGTTTAATTACAGCAACCTTAAAAGCTTTAGGTACATATCCCTGTAACAGAGATAGATTAATCACATCTAAAATGGAGGAGGAGATCAAAGGGAATACCTCCTTAAATAACCTGGTTGGAACTGGATCTAACATACAAGTTGAAGGCTTACAGTAGATGAGGACAATAATTTTGCTAACTCTGAAAGTTCAACTGGATCAAAGCAGTCTAAACCCGGTTCAGATTCCATGACTACCTCAGGTACAATCGCGGATAGAGGAGTGCTTATGATCTTATTTTTAATAAGATCAATCTTATTTATAAAGAATCCCTTAAAATAATTTCTGCTAAGAGCAGGTGGAATGGACGGTTCAACTAAGCTATGGCTCTGGGTGAGTTTGGCAACTGTATTAAAAAGAAATCTAGGATTATTCTTATTCTCCTCTATTAATGAGGAGAAGTATGCTGCTCTTGCTTTACAAAGGGTCCTCTTGTACAGCAGTAAACTATTTTTCCAGACTTGGAAGGACTCTCGCAGGCCTGTGGAGCGATATTTTCTCTCCAGTTTCCTAGCATTTTGCTTCAAAGTGTGCAGCTCTGCATTAAACCAAGGAGCAAGCTTTCTATTTTTAATGGTTTTCATTTTCAAAGGAGCTGCGTTGTCTAAGGCAATATGCAGAGAACTAGCAACCCCATCAACAAAATCATCAACCTGTGAAGGGGAATAAGCTATGCTTTTGCACTCTGCAGCACTGCTCAGCGACACAGAGGAGAGAGAAAGTGAAGCAGATTCTTTAAAATGTATAACTGCGCTATCTGATAAAGATCTACTAAAATTGAACCTTATTTTGGGGGAGGAGAACTCTGTTAAAGTAATCCTGAAGGTTATTAGAAAGTGGTCAGAGAGGACAGGGTTGTGAGGAAATACTGTTATTTCTTCACATTCTATGCCGTATGTCAGCACAAGATCCAAAGTATGAAGATGAGAATGCGTGGGACTATTCACATTTTGAACAAAGCCAATAGTGTCTAAGATAGCATTAAAGGCTGCTCTTAAGCTATCGCCTTCAATGTCAGCATGGATGTTAAAATCTCCCACTATGATGACCCTGTCAGTATTTAATACCAAATCAGAAAGGAACTCTGAAAACTCATCTAAAAATTCAGAGTAAGGACCTGGTGGACGATACAAAGTTACAAAAAGAAGAGGTTTTCTTGCTTTGAAATTTGGATCAGGGAAATTAGGGGTTAAATGTTCAAAAGAGTTGTAGGTATTAACTGTTTTGGGAGTAATCAGTAAGTCAGACTGGAAGATTATTGCTACTCCTCCTCCTCGCCCAGAACTTCTGGGTATGTGAAAATTTAAATAGCTTGAAGGAGTTGCCTCATTTATGCTCACATAATCCTCTTGCTGCAGCCAGGTTTCTGTAAGACAAAATAAGTCAATGTCATTATCACAAATCAAGTCATTAACAAGCAGAATTTTAGAGGAAAGAGATCTTATGTTAAACAGACCACACTTAATCTTTTCTAAACATTTAATATTTATGCTATACAAAATGGAACCCCACAAGGAAGTGCATGTAGTCCACTGATTTTTAATATAATGATATTTTAGATAATATAGATTTTAGAATCAGTACAGCATTATATGCAGATGATGGAGCATTATGGATGAGAGGAGGAAATATTAGTCATTTAACAAATAAAATGCAATCAGCAATTAAAACGGTTAAAAGATGGTCACAAGACTGGGGGTTTCATTTGTCTGTTGAGAAGACACAAGTAATATGTTCTTTAAAGAAAAAGGGTTCATCCTACAGTAGATCTTAGATTATATGGAAATAAATTGAAGCAGGTAAATATCGTAAGGTACCTCGGCAGATGGTTTAATGTGAAGCTTTCATTTAGGATACATATTCAGAAGATTAATGATAAATGTAAAACAGGAATTAATATTTTAAGATGTTTGTCAGGGAATGACTAGGGGCAACAAGCACATCTTTAGAAAGAATATATAATGTTTTAATTAGATCTGTGTTGAACTATGGATGTACAGTATCGTTTAAAAGTCAGCTGCAAATTCTTTGTTATTAAATTTGAATAGAATAGAATAGAATAGAATAGAATAGAATAGAATAGAATAGAATAGAATAGAATAGAGGATATGTTGTGGTGCTTTTAGAACCTCTCCTATTTCTGCTCTTCAGGTGATTACTGGAGAAATGCCACTGGACTTAAGGTGGATAAAGCTATCAATAAATTATTGGTTAAATTTAAAAGGGCATGAGGAAAATCATCCTACTAAAAAGGTTGTTGGGAATATGTCCATAACATAAGGAGTTTTGGATGGGAAGGAATTATTTATGCAGATTATTTGGGTATAAATAATATAGCATGCTGCAAAACTGTAATTAAATCTAAAACTGCTCTGTGGTTATTCGAAAAGCCAATAGCAAATTTAGAAACCAAAAAAAATAGAACAGTCCTGTGGAGGTTTGTATCAAATTATTCCACAGTATTTAGATATTTTGTATGAAAATATGATGCAAATATATGAAGATGCATCAAAAGAGGAAAATGGTAAAACAGGAGTAGCAGTTTATATTCTGAAACAAAAAGTTTTTATAAAAAGAAGAACAACAGATCATTTATCAATTTTTTCAGCAAAGATGTTGGTAATTATTTTGGCATTGCAATGGGTGCTGGAGGTGAAGCCTCATAAGGTAGTTATCTGTTCAGATTCAATGTCTTGCTTTACAAGTATTATAGGTGAAAATCTGAAATCCATCAAGATCTTTTAGATGAAGTTAGTTATTTGTTATATGGTATAAAGCAACAAAAAATAAGTATTTAATTCACATGGGTTCCAGCACATAAAGGAATTGTAGGTAATGAAAAAGTAGATAAGTTGGGAAAAGAAGCAGTTAAAGCAAGAGAACCTGAATATGATGTCTACGGAAGAGGATTAGGGCCACTGGAAAAAAAAAAAAAAGTTAACTGATTTTTTTTTTTTTTTTATTTCAGTATAGTATGGGAAAAAAGTCAGAATTCTGACTTTTTTCTCAGAATTCTGACTTTTTTCTCAGAATTCTGACTTTAATCTCAGAATTCTGACTTTTTTGTTGTCAGAATTCTGAGAAAAAAAGTCAGAAATCTGACTTTTTTCCCATACTAAACTGAAAAATGTTTTTAAAAATCAGTTAACTTTTTCCTTTTTTTCAGTGGCCCTAATCCTCTTCCGTAGATGTCCCATTAAGTGGAGCAGAAATAAAAGTAATAATTAAAGATTAAAATAAATAATATATGGCAGGAGAGATGGAATGTAGAAGAAAGAGGAAGGCATTTACATAAAATACAGAAGGACGTAATGATAAGAAATCATAGTATAATGAATAGGAGAGAGGAAGTAAGGATAAACAGGTTGAGGATTGGGCACACTAGTTTAAATAGTGGTTTAAAAATGATAGGGAAACATCCATCAGGTGATTATTCTTATTGTGGGGAAACAGAAGGAGTAGATCATGTGTTCATTTATTATAGAAAATAAATAAAAGAGAGGAAATAACTGGAAAGGGGAATATGTAAGTAAATATGGTCAATTTATTAGGGAAGCATCAATCACATGATATAGTTAAAGCACTTATTAAGTAATTTATTAAGAATTTAAAAAACACAATATTAGATGAGACGATTTAGTATTTATGTGTGTGTGAGTGAGTGTATAGGTATGTATTTAATTTAGTTTTTTTTTTTTTTTAGATTTAAAGATGTATAGGAATTTCTTTTTTTTTCTGAATTACATTTCCGTCCTGTTGGTGGCGGTAATAATCTGTAAACACCATAGAAGAAGAATCAGCTGCAGCAGACCCAGCGGTCCTCCTCCAGCTGTCATGGCGCTGCTTTACGGGTTAATATGGCGGCTTCTCTTAGCGGTGGTCCGTATCAAGAGAGCCACAGCTTCCTGGTTCCGACTCAGTATCCGTTCATGGAGAGAGCGCTTCTGGCAGCGGACGATGGCAGCTCTGCTGCTGCCGGTCCCCATGTCGGAGCTCCCGGTCTACCCGCAGGCCGCTGGTACCGATGGCGGCAGAGCAAAGCGTCTGTCCCGGTGGATCTCTGACGGGAAGTCGCTGGACAAACTACCGGCTCACATCGGCTTCCTAGTGGCGGAGGAGGAGCTCAGCTACACGGACGTCGCTAACATAGTGGTGTGGTGTATGGCCATCGGCGTGTCCTACGTCAGCGTGTACGATCACCACGGTAATACTACTACTGTTCACTATGAGGAACCGCATTTAAAATCTGAAGGATGATGCTGAGTTAAAAGTGAATGAAAACATGTGATGATGACAAGATGGAGGTGATTCCACGGCCACAGAGCTTCAGGGGGGCCACAGAGCTTCAGGGGGGCCACGGTGCTTCAGGGGGGCCACGGTGCTTCAGGGGGGCCACGGAGCTTCAGAGGGGCCACGGAGCTTCAGGGGGGCCACGGAGCTTCAGGGGGGGCCACGGAGCTTCAGGGGGGCCACGGAGCTTCAGGGGGACCACGGAGCCTCAGAGCTTCAGGGGGACCACGGAGCCTCAGAGCTTCAGGGGGGACAACGGAGCCTCAGAGCTTCAGGGGGACCACGGAGCCTCAGAGCTTCAGGGGGACCACGGAGCCTCAGAGCTTCAGGGTGACTACGGAGACTCTGAGCTTCAGAGGGACAACAGAGCTTCAGGGGGACCACGGAGACTCTGAGCTTCAGGGGGACCTCAGAGCTTCAGGGGGACCACGGAGCCTCAGAGCTTCAGGGGGGACCACGGAGCCTCAGAGCTTCAGGGGGGACCAAGGAGCCTCAGAGCTTCAGGGGGGACCACGGAGCCTCAGAGCTTCAGGGGGTACCACGGAGCCTCAGAGCTTCAGGGGGTACCACGGAGCCTCAGAGCTTCAGGGGGTACCACGGAGCCTCAGAGCTTCAGGGGGTACCACGGAGCCTCAGAGCTTCAGGGGGTACCACGGAGCCTCAGAGCTTCAGGGGGTACCACGGAGCCTAGAGCTTCAGGGGGTACCACGGAGCCTCAGAGCTTCAGGGGGTACCACGGAGCCTAGAGCTTCAGGGGGAATAGGGTGTGTAACATTGGTTGGGCTGAAAATGGCATATATGCTGTTCTATGAGCACTAATGCAAGCCTGGTTAAAAGCACTAGAATGAAACGACAGGTTTCCTTTCTTTTATGGTATGCTCATGAATATTTAGATGATTTATTCTGTGTGCTGATTTTTAAAGCAAGCAAAGCTGCTGAGCAAAGACGCATCACAGCAACAAGCACTCACTCACTGAAACATCAAATTGTTGATAAGGGTGATCAGATGTCCTCTTTTTCCCGGACATGTCCTGCTTTTCAGACCTAATTTCAAAATCATCCAGGATTTTGGTCGAATAAAGCGCAGCAGGACCGAGCCATCAGCTGGTCTGGGAACCCCGGTGGACGGGGGCAGCGGGGGACGGAGCGACCGAACCCGACCTGACGAAGGTAGCCTGGACTCCGTGCTTCTGCATACCGTCACCGGGTCGGGTTTGGACCAGCCCCGGAGCAGATGCCTGGTCCTGTCTAGTCAGCGACCCAGTAGTAGTCTGTTCACCCTAGGTATGCTAGCATTGCTAGATATGCTAGCATTGCTAGCATACATTGCTATCAACAGCTCAGTGACAGAATCCTACTTCCAGCTTGCAGTTGTGATGGCCTTAGGAGGTGTTGATAGGGTTTAAACTTCTCTGAACGTCCATTTGACCCCCTGAACTATCGTTATTCATCTATGACAATGGAAACTAGGCATGCATTCTATGACATCTTTGAAATACAGCCAGGGTTGGGATGCTGTGGTTGGACCGCTGCTCTGTCAGACCAGCATACTCATATTCAGTACCTGTTCATCTCTTTAATTTAATCCTTTATTTTATCCCTTTAGATTTGTACAAAAAATAGACTTTATATTACATCAACAGGTGTGTATCCCTTTAGTCACATACAAAAAGTGACTGCCTGTTTAGTGTTTTTTGAAGCGTATGGCAATCTGACCTTAAATTGTTTTTTTTCCCCTATGTGACTAAAGGGAAACAATCCCATTGAGGTAAAGGGATAAATGCAAATCTGACTTCTTGAGTATTGACTATAGGTATGCTGGTCTGACAGAACACCGGTCCATCTGTTTAACTCCCCTCACTGATGAACCCAGTGGTTGAACTCCTCCACTTCAGGCAGAGAGTCTCCTCCAACCTTAAGGGACCAGCCTCCTTTTTCAGATCCAGAACCATGTTCTCAGACTCGGAGGAGCTGCCAGTCATTGCAGGCTGTAGGCCTAGACGGGAAGGGTGTCATGTTGGCTCAAGGCCTTTCCCTAGTCTATAGAACTCATGTGAAGCAGCATGCAGAGCCGGTCCTCTGATCCACGACCCAAACAGCGCTGCTCCTCCTGAGGCTAGGCTGGGATAGTAGCCAGACTCTCCTCCTCAGCACTTTCTCCCCTCCTGGAGAGGCTGGGAGGTCCATACTTGTTATACAGCCTATGAGTTGGCCTAGTGGGTTGAGCAGTGTGCTGGGTCTCTGGGAAGGTTCCAAACACCCGGTTCAATCCCCACAGCCTGCACTCTGGGCAAAACCCATAACCCCACACTGCTCCCTGGGCGCTGCACGATGGTAGCCCACTGCTCCCCAAGATGAGTTAAATGCAGAGAGTTAATTTCTCCAAAATGAGATCAATAAAGTTCAATTATGATTATTCAGCTGGAAAATCTGAACTGTTCCTGCTTGACAGCAGCCAATCAGTGAGAGGTTCCACCTTGTCCTGGTGTCCTGTGGGCTATGTGAGTCATCAAACTCGGCTCACTTAAGAAGAAAATTAGTCTGGAAGCGACTCTCATCAGCGTGCAGCTCTTCAAGCAGGTGGTTCAGGAATTGAACGCCTCTGAACTAATTGGTAAATCCAGATAAGGGCATTCTCTAGCTCTATTTGGCCACTCTTCAGTTTTATCCGCCATTGTATGACATAAAGTGGGAGCATTTCTCCATGTGTGTCAGAAACCATAATAAGGGGCATTTAGCAGCTCCCAGCGGCACTCTGATGAGCAGCTAGTAAAACCATGACAACAGAACCCTGCTGGAGATGGAGGGGACAAGAATTGTTGTGCGTGGTTGGAAGCATCAGCTTAGGAGTGGGTAGTGTTGCTGAGGGACCAACGGGCATCACAGCTTCCAGGACAGAACCATCCAGCGGGAACCTCTGAGGGTGATGCTTATATGACTGCAGCAGCTCTGCTAGAAAACACACGGCGGGGAAACATGGCGGCTACGCCTCTGCTATCTGTAGCAGAGGCAGTTATTGGTGTATAAATAGGGAGTAGGATATAATGCAAGAAGAAGGTTCTGGGTTTGTGTACCTGCCCGCGGTCTTCCTGCATGGGGTCTGCATGTTCTCCCTGAGCAGGTGTGGGTTCTCTCCCGGAACTCCTCCTTCCTCCCACAGTACAAAAACATGACTGTTAGGTTCATTGGTTTCTCTAAATCCTCCTGAGCTTAAGCTTGAGCTTGAGCTTTCCTTTTTCTGTTTACCAGAAAGGGGAAAATGATGAGCTGCTTTTTGGAGGATCACTGTTTCACTATAGATCTGTTTTCTGTTCTCCTGAAGTTTTCCAAAGGTTTTTTTTTTTCCTGGAGGAGAGTGATAAGCTGCTCTCTCTGCTGTCCCTCCTTGTTTTAAAGGACACTCTCTATTGTAACTATTTCCTGTCCTCCTGAGCTCCTATTATAGGTCCACTATTCTGCTTTTTAAAATGTTTCATTGATTGTTTCTGTCCAGTCTGTCCTTCCTGCTATATTCGCTCTGTGTGACTCCAAACTGATTAACAGATTTTATTTAGTATTTTCCCCAAAGTGTTTTACTTTGTAACGGCGTCTCTCTTCCTGTCAGACCCAGGGAATTGCTGCTGAATGGCTGCATAGTCTGACTACAATAGACCTGGACTCTATCTCAGTGAGAGCTATCCAGCATATCCAGTAGTTCATAGTTCATTTTCCCTGAGCTCCGTTTATTGCCGTTTGCAGTTCTTTAGCTTTTTGGTTCCTGATTCTCCACCTTGTGCCCCATTTCCATCACCCATCTTAAACCAATCCGCGCCGCCCAACTGATCCACGCCGTCATCTGAGTCCGATCCGCGCAGGTTCGGACCGAGCTTGGACCAGTTAACCGTACTGAGCTTTGTTCTTGCGACCATTTTCAAACCATGCTGGCACGATTCCTCGTCTCCTATGGATGGTCACCAATAGTACAGCTCTCAAGGCTGAAATTACGCAAACAATTTGCAGCGCTCATAACATTTAGGATCTTATTGGCCCGTGGATCATGGTGGCCATTTCTATAGGAGGACATTATGCTGCATTTAAATAAATTACTCAGGTGTACATACGAACCTGCTATAGTGTCATTTATAGTACAGTGTGAGGCTTAAAGAGGATGCTTTTGTAACAGAATAGGAAATATTGATGAAAAGTTAAAAAAAGAAAAAAAAGTATTAGTTTCCAGTAGAGCTGAAACAATTAATCTGATTAATTTTGGTTTATCGATTGTTGAAATAATCGTCAAATAACTTAGTAATTACTTAGAGGCTCTAAAATGTTCCTTCAGCTGACAGCGTGACCCACTTAGAGCAGCAATTATACCAAGATTTAAAAAAAAATATATCAACATTTTGCATTTAAGATAAAAATAAGTTTTTCCTCTGTCAATCTGCTCTATCCAGAACTGCTCAAGGGAAAAGTTTTAGTGTCACCTGGTTTATTTTTGTAAAAAAAATTCTTTAAGGAACCTTTGGTTATCTGATTATGAATTAATTGAAAAAATAATCAACAGATTAATTTATTGGCAAAATAATTGTTAGTTGCAGCTCTAGATCCCAGTATTTGTATTTATTCAATACATGACTTTAATTACTTACATAACTCATGTCTTTTAAAAAAGATGAAATTGTCCAGAGAGCTGTTCCAAAAAAAATGTCTTCTTGTTTTAGACTGGTGTAAACAAAATGACAAAAATCAGTTTAAGTCTAATGATGGTGTTAACAAAGTGACCAATGAGATGAATCTTTTCAAGTGCCGATTGCATAACATGTGTGGACTTAAATGTTAAACAAATCTTTAACTGGTAACACTTGATAAAAGAAGCCTATTATTTGACTTAAATAACAAAACTGCTGTAAAAGAAAAGCTTTCTTCTCAAAGAGCTTCAGTGTTTTGGGGCGTGGTCTCCAGTGTCTGTGTGCAGCAGACCTGAGGGCCAGTCCCTGAAAATCTGCCGGTCTGCACTGTTGGACTGCTGGTGTTTTACAGTGTGGTCCACTCTGCACAGCCCTGTAGAAGTTATTTTAGCATCAAGGGGCGACAAAACCCCATGAAATAAAGCCCTTATTGATGACGTACCTGCTGCACGTTTAGTACTTTTACATGAATCCGTCCCTGCATGCCGTTCAGTTGAAGCTTTCCCTCGACTGCTTACGTCCACATCGCACAAAGTGTGCAGAAGACATGGAAGGAGTCTCGACTACTGTTCGTCATAAATTCAAGCTCTTCTGTCTATACAGAGTTAAACCAGGTCATTTGTTTTGGCATGATAACTGAATCTGCTGACCCCAAAAACCTTCTTTTTAGGTTAATACCAATACTGCAAAGTTTAGAGAAATCTTCTTGTGCTTTTTCTGCAGGCCGGGTGCCTCCGGGTGCATCGCTGCCCCCCTCAGGACACTGGCTTGTGCATCATTTCATGGGTGTTACGCTGCCGTGCGTTACGCAGAAGTTAGGCTGTCGTTGGACTGAAGTTCTGGACTGGTTATGAATTCTCTATGTATACAACCAGAACTGGAAAAATGCATGGAAAGTTCGGCGTATGCCAGCGTTTTAGGAGATTCTGGGACATCTGGCCATTCCATCGTGACTCCTTTATTTTTCCACGAAGAACATCTATCTGTCAAATGAGTAGAAACACATTTCCTAAAGTTAAAAGATGAGAACATAACCAGGCTCTGAAAACCAAAGTAAAGGTGGTGGATTAATCCTAAAGCATCTTAATCTGTTAACATAGAATAAACGAGGCCCGGATTATTGCAATGGATCCATCTAAACACTTGTTCTTCCATCATGTCATTCAGGCGCCCATTTTTTCTTCTTCTGTGGTGGTTGTCTGGAGCTCTGATGGCTCTGCTGTCTGTAAGTGAACACATGATCCACCGATTGATCCTAGACCCAGATAAACACTTTTCTTCTTTTTTTCCCCCAGCGTTTCTATTGTCATTCCACTGTCACAAGTACAAGGCAGTGAAATTCACTCTGCATTTAACCCCTCCCCATAGGGAGCAGTGGGCTGCCATTGTGCGGCACCCAGGGAACAGTGTGGGGTTAAGGGTCTTGCTCAGGGACCCAGAGTTGCAGTCTGTGGGAATGGAAGTTGAACTCAGAACCTCTGGATTCCAAGATCTATGCCCTAACCCAGACATCCCCATAGTGGGTCCTGGAGGGCCGCTGTGCTGCAGGGTTTAGAGGTTTCCTGCTCCAGAACAGCTGATTTCCATGGATAGCTGATTAACAGACTGAACTGCAATCACCAGAATCAGCTGTGCTAAAGCAGAGAAACCTCTAAAACCTGCAGGACGCCTGCCCTAACCACTACGCCGCCACTCCCCAATTATAGGATAGCTCCTGTATGGTGCTGCCGTCTGTCTGGTTGCCATGGCAACCCAGTGAACCTGGAATTTATTGGTTGTATGTGTTGGGGGGGTCCAGGCGACGGATGGCCTCCTCTGAAGCAACTCTCTGACCTGTTGCTCTGTTCATAGGTCTGTTCCAGAAGAACAGCTCCTGCCTTCAGGAGGAGGTGGTGAGGCAGCAGCACCACCTGCTGGGTGGAGCTCACCCTGAATATCAGATGGAGGTGCTGAAGAGCAGCACAGGCAGACCCCAGCACCTGGGTAAGTCCTGCAGCCCCCTCATGCTGGGGTTTAACTCTGTTGACATGTTGGCTGCTTTTAGCCGGCGGGTTTTTCCACCCAGCTCATCCAACCCTGTCAGCATCCATCTTCTCCTGTCTATTTTTCCAGTGGTGTCCTGCAGACCCACGGTGAAGGTGCTCTCTCCAGAGGATGGGAAGCCTAGTATTGTCCAGGCAGCAAGAAAACTTTGTCACTCTGTGGAAAAGAAGGAGTGGAGCTCCAAAGACATCAGTGTCTCCATGTTGGACGTTCTTCTCAGAGGTATGGCTCTAATGATATGTTAAAATCCATCAATTGTTAACTGGAGTCTAGAGACTGTGAAACATGCCTTTGGCTGAGAGAGACCTGCTTAGAGCAGGATGTAAAACAATCTAAATATTTAGAAAACTTTTCATTTTCTGTCCATATTCTATACCCACTTAAGAGGATGCTCCATGGTTCTGAGATTTTAAAGGGAAATAACTTTATTTACATTAATCTTATGTTGCTAATGTTTACTGACTCTTCCCTTTTCTATATTTCCTTCATTTGCATGTAGTGTTTTTAATCAAATAAAAACGGAAAAAATAAATATGGTTACTTTTACGTCGCTCTCCCACAGCCGTCATTTTGACGGCTCCATCAGTTGCATTGTAGATTTTTCTCGCAGACGATTGATGTCCGGTACAGTTTCCTAGCAACCAACATTCTACCTAGAACTCTTTGGCTAACAAATGACAATGGCTTTCAGAAGAAACCTAACAGCGAAACAGGCTTTAGAAATGCTTGAGAATATTGATGATAGCGATTTGGGGGAGGGGGAGTGACCGATGAGCTGGACTGGGTAGGAAGCAGCTCAGATCCTGACAGCGAGTTGAGGATGATCACCCACCCACAGGAAAATGCAGACGTGTTGGTGACCCATCAGACAATAGTGAAACTTATATTCGAGGTGTGGATAGCACCGCCCACACCTCAGCCGGTTCAGTCAGAGGCCCAACAGCCAAACCATAGTCTACTATAACCACACAGGTCAGCGTGTCTGATCAGATGATTAGAAAGTATTCTGGAAAAGCTCCAACTCAAAGGTGGCCTGTGGCTGTATTTTACCAACTCCTGGACATAGCAAATAGAAACACATTGGTTTTATTCAGGAGGTGTTTGAAAATCACACAGAGATTTTATCCTTGAACTGGTAAAACAGTCGACCTTATGTGCTCAGCTCAGCAGGTTTGGAGCCCCTCCCCTGCTGTAGAGCAGATTTGGCATGGAAAAGAAAACTCATGTGTTCCATTGGGAAAAATGTCACCCATCAAATTGACGGTCAGTGGGAGTTCTAGTAGGATCAGAGTTCTGGAAGTGTTAAGCAACATTTTGCTTCCCTATGATTGCATCCTCGCGATCCGTCTGCTTCAGCTTTCAGCTGATGAAGCAGACCTTTCAGCTGCCTTTGGAGTGTTGCTTGTTTATTGAAGAATGACCTCTGACCTTTGCCCTCTCTCTGACCATCGTAAAACTTGGATATACCACACATAGTATGAGCTAACTAGCATTGGAAGCTATCTACAGTAATATTCCTGTAGAAATTAAGTTACCATCATCACTCAAACAAAGAAACATGTTAAACATTAAGAAATCCCTTCAAACACAACAATGTATCAAGGTTTCTCAGCTGAACAGAGAAACTCTCTGGCATTACATTCTGTCATCTTGGAACTGTTGCTTCCTCTACTTCAAGGGTTTCAAACTGGTTCCAGAAAGGGCCGTGTGGCTGCAGGTTTTCTTTCCAACCAAACAATAGCACACCAGACTCCATTCAGGTCATCATGTTAAGACTGGACTCACTTCATTAGATTCTGGAGTCTGGTGTGCTATTGCCTGGTTGGAAAGAAAACCTGCAGCCACACGACCTTTTATGGAACCAGTTTGAGACTCCTGCTCTAGTTCCTTTTAAGCGTAACAAAAACAACCACCAGAGGGAGCTCTAGGGTGTTTTACAAAAACAAATCTCATTCAGTAAAACTCAGAGAAGGCAGAGCACTGATCATTGATGAATTAATCAAAAAATAATCGACGGAAAAGAAAATAATTGCTAGCTGCAGCTCTGGGTTAATGGTCAGTTTTCATTGTGTTTTTACTGTTGCTCAGTTACCTTAGACTTAGTCTAAGCTTCAGCTGACCTCCCCATCCTGAGTACATTTTATGTCTTCAGACTGGGCGGCCACTTTGAGGACCACCATAAGCTTTTTTTCTTTACATTTTAAGTTTTCAGATGGTCTTGTTGGACGCTCAATCTTCTGACATTGTAACTCCGTTTTTCTTTGCTGCCTGCGCTTCACTGGTTTAAAAATCATAACTCAGTTATAAACCAGCCTGACTCTTGATCCACTCTGTTTAATTTAATCCAGTTTATTTCTATAGAACCAATTCACAACACCTGTCATATCAAGGCACTTCACCAGATCATCCAGTCAGATGGATTCAAAGTTTTCTATCTAAGGAAAACCAGCTGATTGCATCGACTCATTGACTCTTCAGCAATCCCTCACACTAAGCATGCTTGTAGCGACAGTGGAGAGGAAAAACTCCCTTTGAACAGGAAGTAACCTCCAGCAGAACCCGGCTCAGTGTGAGCGGCCATCTGCTGAGGCCCACTGGGGTTCAAGGAGACAGAAGCAGACATAGAAAAAGAAGCATAGATACAAAAGGCAACTGTCAACCAGCTCCACAGGCGTCCCCGTCCAGGAAACACACAGCCAGGCAGACGAGCTCCAAGCCAGCTCCCATGTCAGAGGATGAAGAAAGCACATCCAGTTAGTCACAGTCAGAGAAACAGGACTACACTGGAAAACAGGCCGATCTCCAACATCTATAAACAAAGGTGTTGATGGAAGCAGCACAGCTGATATTTCTCTCCAGGATGGAGTCACAGCCAAACAGGAACAGACCAGATGAAGCTACTATGAGAAAAAGCAGAGAGAGCAGAACGTTAGAGATTGAACTAACAGATTCTGCAGAGTGGGAGAATAGAGATAGAATGATGAAAAAGGATTCCCTATGCCCTCCAGCAGTCTAAGCCTATAGCAGCATAACTATAGAGATAGCTCAGGATAACCTGAGCCACTCTAACTATAAGCTTTATCAAAAAGGAAAGTTTTAAGCCTAGCCTTAAAAGTAGACAGGGTGTCTGCCTCACGGACTAAAACTGGTAGTTGGTTCCACAGGAGAGGAGCCTGATAACTAAAAGATCTGCCTCCTATTCTAGTTTTAGAAATTCTAGGAACCACTAGTAAACCTGCAGATTGAGAGCGAAGTGCTCTGTTAGGAACATAAGGAACAATCAGATCTCTGATATCAGATGGAGCTTGGCCATTTAAGGCTTTATATGTGAGAAGGAGGATTTTAAATTCTATTCTGGATTTAACAGGAAGCCAATGAAGAGAAGCCAGGATAGTAGAGATATGATCTCTCTTTTTCATTTTCAAGAAAGAGTTGGAGAGCTGCTGTTCTGGGGTAGCATCATTAGAAACCCTAGTATGGTCTCTTTAAAGGAATACATTTGATTGATTTTTTTTTCCACTTTTGTTTTATTCTCTTTTTTTCAGAAAGTAAAAACATCCCAGATCCAGAGCTGGTGGTGAAGTTCGGTCCAGTGAACAGCATGTTGGGTTTCCTCCCCTGGCATATCAGACTCACAGAGTTCATGTAAGCTGCAGCCCCTTGGCCACAGTGTTTCACATTAGCAGCTTGGAACTGTACAGACATATCATGGACAATCAAAGATTGGGTATCAGAGGAAAACGAGATACCAAAGATAACTGATCAACGGCTCGAAACACGACAATGGTCGACGGTAAAGATGCAGATGGACTTTTGGAACTCGGCAGGATCATGTTTAGTTAAGTGTAAAGGAGGATCATTGTTCCCTATGATGAGTTAGCAATGATTATAGATTTAACCAGATTTAAACCAGAGGCAGTGAAACTTTGTCTGGAACAGAGAAGTCTACGTTCACACTAGACGCACTCTAAGAAGCAAAAAAAGCTCCTGCTGCTTCATTTCTGATGCTTGTCCACATTAAGGTCAGGCGTCCAGTAAAGTGTCCAGTAAGATGCGTCTGATGCTTCTGCTGCTTCTGTGTTCAATGAAAGAGCGGCTTTGCTATATTTGCTGTGATCAGTTGGTAAAAAGTAGTTTGAATATGATTTTAATGCAAAACATTGCTCCTGAAAATAGTCTGAGTTGTCAATTCATCCAGATTAACATCCTGCCTTCAAATATTATTTCTCTGTGGGATACCAGAGTGAGCTGTCACTGGGAATCCCCAGCAGCAGCTAACTCAGGCCCGGTCTTCTCTTGGGGTTTTCCCCTACACTTGCTACTGCTCATGTGCGTAATCCAAACTTTGACCATTGACTGCATGTGAACCAGCTGCTCCCGCTGCTCGATGCGCGTTAGCTGTGAAGAGAAGCATCAGAGATGATGCTCATCCAACAACCGAGCTAACCACTTCCAAGTCTTCAGCCTTCAGAAATAACACCAAACCAACAGGGCAGAGCTCAGGATGTAAGCCACACTTTCAGAAAAGAAAGGATTACTCACCTTTAAAGCACCCAAACTGGCTGATCAAGTCGGCCAAAACGCGTCCAGTTCTGGAGAAGATGTGGGAGATACAAAAACATAGTAATTCCATCAGTCTCTGAGGAACAAAGGAGGATTTTCTTTAAACCAAACAAGTAAATTTTAAAGCAACAGAAACCCAAACTGACTGAGGGCTGAAGAACCAATGAACTGTGGCCTTTATATCTGTACTGTTGTTTGGTTTAATGTCGTCTGTTTTGTTTTCTGTCCCCAGTTCTCTGCCGTCCCACAGAGATGTTTCTTTCGAAGACCTGTTTGGGGCCCTGCAGCAGTACAGTGCCTGTCAGCAGCGGCTTGGACAATGATGAGCAGTGTTTGCTCTTCGGAGGGGAATCTTTGCAGGAAGTAGGGGGCCATCCTGCCAACCATGATCCACTGAAAACTCCAATTGTTTTCTTCTGGACTAAAAAATTGAAAACAGTACCCTGGAATCATGACCAGCCTGTCTTCTGCATATGTTTCATGCTTAGATAATGAGACAGCATCTAGTAAACCTATATTCCAACCAAATGCAATATGGTCAAACAGAAATGGACATTTGTCAATGAGGACTTCCTGCAGAGACAGAATCTGCTTCACCTCCTAAACTCTCAGTGCAACTAATAAAGATGGAAATCTCCTATAGTACTGGAGGATAGAAGATACAGCCGTACTGCATGGGGTAAATTTGCACATTAGACAATAAACAGAAACTTGGCTCTGGGACTGAAACATCACCTGTTTGTTCTGTTGGTCTCATAAAAACTGTCACTTCCTGTTTTTCTTGTAGGAACTGACAAAGTTTTCTGTAGAACGCATCAAATCCGATTTACAACCGATCTGACAGAAAATGGTGTGGGACGAGGTGGTGGCGTTTAGCGCTCACTGAGAGCTGATGGGGATGATCACACCTGACAGCATTTCCTCCAGGAGGCTTGGTTAGCTCTGACTGAGATAGAGTCCAGGTCTATTGTAGTCAGACTATGCAGCCATTCAGCAGCAATTCCCTGGGTCTGACAGGAAGAGAGACGCCGTTACAAAGTAAAACACTTTGGGGAAAATACTAAATCAAATCTGTTAATCAGTTTGGAGTCACACAGAGCGAATATAGCAGGAAGGACAGACTGGACAGAAACAATCAATGAAAGATTTTAAAAAGCAGAATAGTGGACCTATAATAGGAGCTCAGGAGGACAGGAAATGGATGCAGTAGTGATCCTCTGAGCCTCACTGAAACCAACCAGTGAGGGGCGGATGGAGCAGCTCATCCTCCTCCACTCTTACTAATAATAGAAAAAGAAAAGCTTGGATAAAGTTCCCAGATCTCTTAGAGCCTCATCCAGCGTAGAAACCGTCCCTCTGCCTTTAGGGTTGTTTTCCTTTTCTTAGTTCTCGGGTTATTTATTAATTTAGGCTTATGAACAATCTCCATCCTCTCTGGTTTGAGATGCTGCACAGACTCGTCAATGGGGCTTTGCTTTACAGCTGTGCTGGTGGGCTTTTTTTTTTTTTTTTTATCTTTTTTTGGGGAATTTTAATAAGTTTCCATTATCTTTCAAATGTGGGAAACAGTTTTAACATGTTTGGCAGGGAGATAGAAGCTAAATACATCTCATAACTGCCCACCCCAGTCAGATCCTCGCTATACGCAGTCGGTGTAACATGGAAAAAAAAATCAGACCATCCGCTGAGTCCAGGCCTCTGGATGAGAGGAGGAGACCTGAACAGTTACTGTTTAAAAGATGTTGATTATTTGACTCCAGCTGACAGCTAATCCAGTTCATTTGTTGGGCACTACAATATTCATCTTTTGCTTCTCTGTATTTTTCTGGGCACTTTAACAAAACCATGAGATTTTTGCAATAAAGTTTTTAATGTCTCTGTGATGAAATGTTGAAAATCCATTTGCACATTAAGTGGATTTGAGATTGTTAAATGCCTGAAAAACCCACATGTTGAAATGAAACTTTTTTGATTGATCAACAACCTGGTCCTTTGCTGTTCGTGATACCCAGTGCCACCAACCAGTACTTAACCTTGGCTGAATTTAATGGAGTGAATAATGGCAGATCTGGACGACAGCATGGAGGGAATCCTTCATACTTTACATGATGCAAACATTTCACATAAACACACATTGTTCTTGGCCACATTGACGAGGTGCAGCTGCACCGTTCTGACTCCAGATGCTGTTCATGTTCTGGATTATTGATTGTTGATTTCACATTGAAGTGACTCGGATCTAGCCGCTTAAGTGTAGTAGCCATTTCTACGGTCTTGGCTTTAGAGAAAAAAGCCAAAGCTGATACTTTAGGATACACCAAGTAATAATGCAGTGCCTTCCAAAACGATCCTTACCCTTTGGGTTTTTTCCACTATGTTTCATCCTAACAACAAATCTTAGTGTGTTTCTGAGGCTCGGGCTGCTGCATCCACATGATTCAGGTCCACTACTGTCAGAAGAAAAAGAAAAATTACACGTTTGTTTCCATGGTGATTCTTTTAAACAAATAAATATCTAAAGTGTGGTAAATGTTTGTGATTTATTTATTCTAAGAGCTACTGTTCCAGTAATAAATATATGGTTGAAATAAATAACTTGCCCCTGAGGACAGGGTGCAGTGATGGACTCATAGCTGAACCTTCAGAGGGTCATAAAGACAAGAAGAAAGTCAGCCTATCACCTTAAGATCTCCAGGATTAAAGGACTAATTTATTCCTGGAAAGATTTAATATATATATATATATATATATGTACTGTATGTATAAGATACAAAACCACTGTTCTGGCAAGGGGGAACCAGGACCCCAGGTCAGAGGGGAGTTAACACCAAACTCCCCACCAGAGATTGGGTACAACCATGCTGAGTGAGGCAGCAACTGACCTGCAAAATAAGATGGCAATAGCACACAATAGTGATGCATAGTGGTTGGTGGGTCTGAGAGAGGACCTCGTCAACCTCCCTGAACAGAATCCATACACCATCACAGTGGCAGACATCCAATAAAGAGCAGGCCCCGATATCATACACGCCTACTGGCTTAAGAAACTCACCACACTTCATGAACGCTTGGCAGCACAAATGAACCAGCTGCTGAGAGATGGGAGCCACTGTGAATGGCTAACCGAAGGGTGCACAATCCTGATCCTGACAGAACCCTCAAAGAGTATGGCCTCTCCATAACCTGCCTCTCCACAACATGGACGCTCATGTCCAGGATCATAGCGGCTAAGATAAGCACATGGATCAATACATGAGCAAAAATTGGCAAAAATACCAAAGGTGCCAAACATCAGCTCCTGGTAGACCGAGCAGTCGCTCGAGACCAGAAACACTAACCTGAGCACTGCCTGGATTGATTACAAGAAAGCCTACGACTCAATGCCACATACTTGGATCACCGAATACTTGAAGCTATACAACATCAACAACCCAAGAGCCTTCATTGCAAACTCAGTGAGGTTGTGGAAAACCACCCTAGAAGCCAATGGCACAAGTCTCCATCAAATGTGGTATATACCAAGGAGATGCGCTGTCCCCACTGCTGTTCTGCATAGGTCTGAACCTCCTCAGCCAAATAATTAAAAAGATTGAGGAGGCCTTTGGAATGAGCAGGCCCCTGGTGCTGAAAGGCACTGGAAGAGAATCGGAATCAGATATACTAATTCTATAATTAATTATAATAATTCCAGAAATAAATTACTTAAAGAGGGAAATTAAAAAAGTCAAAGAACATTTTAGTCAACACTGTAAATAATAGAACTGCTGCACACACTGCTTTTTTAACAAATATATTACACTGTACAGCATAAAATTTCTTCACACACAGCTTCTCTTTTCTCTGTTTTATTTATGTAACACTGTGCAGAATAGAACTTCACACTGATTCTCTTTTTAACATATATCCCACTGCACACATTGAACTTTTTGTCGGCTTGTTTCATCATATCCACAAAGTCTTCATCCTTAATGGTCTTTGCAGGCAGGTCAGAACGCCCAACCCAGTTTGCCACTGAGTTCTCCAGGGCTTTCTGCTCTTTGGCGTCAGGTTTGTACAGTGGGGGGGCTCCCAACATCTCTGCAACAGGCTTCCCTTCCTTCCCCAACCTCTGATCTGGCTGTGGTGTCACTGTAACAGGAATCTAGTTGGGAGGAAAAACTTTAAACGATTAATATCCAGCGTATCAGTAGAACATGTTTCTTCTATGAAAGAGAGACACAGAGCCCACATGCGTTCCTCCTACTACAGGCCCAACCATTCCTTACCTTCTTCCATATGGCAGCATGTTGCCACCTCAGATGTCGCCAGAGATTCACTGTGTGTTCTTCCCTGCCAGTGTTTTCCTTCGCGTTGTAAACGAAATGGCTCCATACATTCAGGCGTTGTTTTCGCCCAGCTCCTCCAATCACACGCCGCTATCTGAGCCCCACGCAATGATTGGGAAGTTTAGCTGGGATACACCTAAACAGAAATTAATAAAGTCCTTATCTTCTGACCAGCTAAGACAAAACTAATATAAAATCATGCCAATAGATGATATATGTAAGGCACGCTTGCTTTTATGCAACTTTAAGCTTTTTTCAATTTTTAAGATATTTTTAAAGACAACAGTTGGGATTTTCTTCAATAGCTTCCAGGTCATGTGACATACTGAAAATTCTTTGTGAAATTGTTTTACTACATTAGCCTGATGGGGCACACTCATTTATATTCCATTTTAAGCCTTTGTATATAAAAAAAACAACAACAACATTTTATTACAAAAATAAAAGATATTTCTTCAATATCTTCCAGGTCATGTGACCCACCAACTCCAAATCTATGTCAAATTCTTCTACTACTTAAGCCAGATGGGGCACACTCCTTTTTATTCCATTTCAAGCCTTTGTATGTTTTTGGCAGGCCGGGGGAAGCATCCTCTGTCAGGATGATGGCTGATGTTTTCCTCATAGATGGACGGTGACACACTTCAATTCTCCTCTTCTTCTGTATACTTCCTCTGAAACATACGCTCCGTCCCTGGCTGGTTCCGGACCGGCACCAGCCCCAGAACTGATGGCTCGGTTTGAATGCCTGGTCCAGTCCAGTCATAGGCCCAGTAGCCCCCCCAATAAAAAAAAGCGTCCTCCTTTTCAGAAACCCAAATCTGGTCACCCTAGGTACCACACAGGAGGTCTCTAGGAGAGTGGGAACCATCCCCAGACTGAGGCTTTGATAGTAGATGTAGCTGAGGACCTCCCAGAGCTCATGAGCTCCGTTCTTCAGTACTTCCTGCTTCGTTCACCTTTAATAGGACTGATCCCTGCAGTGGCATCTTCACAGGTCTGCCTAGTGAGTGGATCAGACCGTCCTTCCTAGCTTTCTGTATCTCAGAAAATAGAATGTAAAATCCCTCAGGTAGTCTATGTGTCACTGAATGGCTGAGCTCCACCATACATTACATTCTGGTTGGCAGGGGATCAACAGCCAGACCTCTCAGGTCTGCTGGGTTAGAACTAACATGGAGAAGCAGCTTTAGTTCTTATGCTCCATTACTCTGGAATAACCTGTAAATGTGCTGAAACCCTAAAACATTGAATCTGAAACATATTTAAACTGTTCTGGAAGATTAGCTATTTATTTATTTTTTTACAACAGCTTAAATATATAGCAAAGTTTGTAGGAGATCTAAAACAATAACATGGTGTATGTTAACCAGGTGATTACTTCCTCACAGAATTTCACAGTAAAAGGG